CATCTAAACAAAACAGATATGGTCCTTGCTCTCGTGGACACTACATTCTAGTGAAAGAAACAGAAAATGAACATAAATAAGATGTTTTAAGGAGTAGTATGTGTTATTGAAATTAAAACAAAGTAATCATATAGTGTAACTTGGGGCAAGAAGAGGCTATTTTAGAGAACTCAAGCAGTTCAACTTTCTCTGAGAAATAAACATTGACACAAAAGCCTGAATATTGAAAAACAGGCACTCCTGGAAGGAGCTAAGTCCCAGAGCTGAGAATAAAAGGTATGTGTTTAAGGTCTGTGAAGAAACTGCAGCTAGTGTGGAGTGAGCAACAGGGTAAGTGATGGAATAATAAAATCAAAATAATAGGTGGCACCAAATTATGCAAAACCTGGAAGGCCATGATATGAAGTTTGGATTTCACTCTAAGTTCAACAGGAAAGACACCATTCGCAAGAGGCTAGTATGATCTGTTTCCTACTTTGAAAAGCCACATTGGACCCACATAGATATGGTGCTGCTTGTTTGGATGTGCTTTCTCCCTGCCAAAACTCATGATAAACTTTGATCCCCAATGTGGTAGTATTAGAAGGTGGGGCCTAGTGGGTGTTGTTTGGGTCATGGGGGAGGATGGCTCATGAGTAGATTTATGTCCTTCCACAGGGTTGAATGAGTTCCTGCTCTCACAGGAATGGATCCGTTCCCCCAGAGAGTGAGTTGTTAAAAGGAGTCTGGCTTCCTCGGTTTCTCTCTCTTGTCTCCTCTCCTACCATGTGACCTCTTTGCAATGCCCACTCTCTTTTCACTTTGTACCATGAACTGAAGCAGCCTGAGGTCCTCACCAGATGCAGCTTCCCAAGCATGGACTTTTCATCCACCAGAATTGTGGGCCAAATAAACCACTTTTCTCTATAAATTACCCAGCCTCAGATATCCTGTTACAGCAAAACAAAATGGACTAAAACCTGTGGGTACTTGATTTATAACAAAGATAGTACACAGAACAGAAGTGGGAAATGGCCTTTCTCTCAATAAATGGTGCTGTATCAATAGGGTAGCCATATGGGTAAAAAAAAAAATCTTAACCATTACTTTACACCATATACTAAAATAAATTTGATGTGGATTACAAATATAGATATAAAAAGTAAAACAATAAAGATCCTATAAGATAACAAAGAGAATATTTTCATAATCTGGGATAGGCAAAAATTAAACAGAGCACAAAAAGTGCTATAAAAATAGGTAAATTCAACGTCAGTAAATTAGCGACTTTTGGTTATCAAAAGACACCACCAACAGAGGGAAAGTAGAAAACCACCTGATGGGAGAAGATATTTGCAATACATATAATCTCAAAGGATCCCTATTCAGAATAATCAAGAAAGAAAAACATGTATCACAATAGAAAAGCTGACCAAAGTCATTAACAGGTACTTCACAAATAATCATTAAACGTGGAAAATTACTTCATTAGTCATTAGGTAAATTAAAATTAGAATAACTAAATATTCATAGAATAGCTAAAATGAAAAACAGACTGATAATATTAAGTATTGGTGAGGAGATGAGCAACTAGAACTTTCATACCCAGCATATAGGATTAAAACTGGTATCCCTTGGCTGGGCACGGTGGCTCACACCTGTAATCCTAGTATTTTGGGAGGCCAAGGCAGGCAGATTGCATGAGCTCAGGAGTTTGAGACCAGCCTGGGAAATATGATGAAACCCCATCTCTATTAACAATACAAAAAAATTAGCCTGGCATGGTGGTGTGTGCCTGTCATCCTAACTACTCAGGAGGCTGAGGCACAAGAATCACTTGAACCTGGGAGGCAGAGGTTATAGTGAGCCAAGATCATGCCACTGTACTCCAGTCTGGGGGACATGGTGAGACTGTCTCAAAAACAAACAAACAAAACACTTGCATCTCCCCTTTGGGAAACTGGGAGTATCCACTAAAGCTAAATATATGCATACTTTACCCAGAAATTCCACTTCTGGGAAAACAACTGACAAGAATGGCTGCATATATGTATCAAAAGTTTTGTACAAAACTTGGAAACAATGAAAAACTCCATCAACAAACTGAGATGTATTCATATAGTGAAGTACTACACAGCATGAAAAATAACATTGCTGACGCAGGCAACAGCACAGATGAATCTCAGAAACATAATACTGAGCAAAAGAAGGAAGCCAAATACGAAAGCGTGTATACTGTATAGTGGGGTGTATTTTATTTTGCTTTTATTTATTATTTTATTTTATTTTATGAGACAGAGTCTTGCTCTATTGCACAGGCTGGAGTGCAATGGTACTATCTCAGCTCACTGCAATGTCCACCTCCCAGGTTGAAATGATTCTCCTGCCTCAGCCTCTCAAGTAGCTGAGACTACAGGCACGTGCCACCCTGCCTGGCTAAATTTTTTGTATTTTTAGTAGAGACAGGGTTTCACCATGTTAGCTAGGATGGTCTCAATCTCCTGACCTCAGGCAATCCACCCACCTTGTCCTCCCAAAGTGCTGGGATTACAGGTATGAGCCACTGCGCCCACCCAGACTTTCAAATCAAGCAGCAAGGTATTGAAGGCTGCCTCTGTCAGAGTACAATCTCAGTCAAATCTCTTGACTTCTTTCTTACTCATTTGTGAAGTGGGGATGAGAGTCATACCTACCTCATAGGGTTAATATATGTCAAGGGCTTTAAAGGTCCCTGATACAATTAAGCCCTCTGTAAGTTAGCCATTACCAGGGTCTGTGTGGACTTCCCTGAGGGATGAAGAGACAGAAGGTAGATTTTAGTTCTTGTGCCAAGACTGTTTCAGTAGCATGGTGATTGCTCTTTAAATCATGGAAACAAATGATGGCATATAATGTTATTGCCACATAATGGAGTTCATCAGGCCCAAAATCCAGGAGCCAAAGACATAAAGTGCATATATACAACAGAGGAAATTTTGACCTAGCTGGGCCTTGGTTGCCTAGGTGCTAATATGCTTTTCTGTGTATTGGAGAAGAAAATTATTACAATTATTCCGCAACCATTTGGAGAACTAAATGCCAGCCTCCCCAAAGTGCTCAGAGATAAGGGGCAATACACTTCAACTTTCCAGAGTCCGTAGTCCAAAGACTTGTGCATTCCTGGATTAAGTGATACTTCTCATCCCTTTGAATTATTGCAGCAGCCTCTAAACTAGACTCCTACCTGTGTCCAATTTTTTTCCTCTTCAACGAATACATCCTGAGCACCTACACTGTCTCAAGTTCTCTACTAGGTGCTAGGGGACAATAAGAACAAGCTCACAGGCATGGTGCACTATTGAAACACTTTACAAATTATAAAATATTGATCCAGTGCTGTTGCTGTGGGGATGATCAGGTGGTGATGGCAGTTGTTAAAGCAGTTGCTCAGGCCAGGTGCGGTGGCTCACGCCTATAATCCCAGCACTTTGGGAGGCCGAGGCAGGTGGATCACGAGGTCAAGAGATCGAGACCATCCTGGTCAACATGGTGAAACCCTGTCTCTACTAAAAATACAAAAATTAGCTGGGCATGATGGTGTGCGCCTGTAGTCCTAGCTACTCGGGAGGCTGAGGCAGGAGAATTGCTTGAATCCAGGAGGTAGAGGTTGCCGTGAGCAGAGATCATGCCATTGCACTCCAGCCTGGGTAACAAGAGTGAAACTCCATCTCAAAAAAAAGCAGTTGTTCAGCAGTGCTCTGTTGCCTATGAAATAGAGGCATGGCAGCCAAGCCTAAACCAATTCCTGCCTAATTTTCCAACCCTTATTCCCTACATCAGCTTTGCAGTCATCCACACCGAACCTATAGCAGTCCCTTCATTTTCACACCCCAACGCTTTTAAATATTTTATTTCCTCTATCTGACATATTCGTCTCCTTTTGTCTGCCTGTAAAACCCCGCTTAATCCTGTAAGGTCCAATTTCACCCTCCTGTAACTCCTCCTAACAGGCAGTGTTCATCCCTTCCATGAGCATTTCTCAGTAAAGGCAGAGATATATCAGAATGACCTAATAATCAACTTCAAATCCCAGGCCCATTCCTGCTCACCAGAAGTTCAGATTCAATATGTTTCAGGCACATAATGAGTAAGAGCTCAGATTTCAAGTCAAAAAAACTCAGGTTAAGCCCCAACTCAGCTGTTTACCAACTCCATGAACTTGGCCATGTTTCTTAACTTCCCTGAGACAGTTTCCTCTGTAAAAAGGGGATAGGAATAAGAAAGAATGTCTAGTTGAGACAAAGAACATAAAACAGTGCCATAACTGACACCTGGGAAGCACTCAACAACTTATCATTGTTATTGAAAAGAGTTCCATTTTATTCTGATTTTGACAGCCTATTCACTTCTTCCCCACCCTAACCCACCCCTCTCCAGCTTGGGAATCACTGCTGAGCATTTATCAAATTGTATTATAATCCAATGTTTGTGTGCCTGGGTCTCCTACTACTGGTAAATTCAGAAGTCATGTCATAGTTCTAGATCACCAACATGTCGCACTGTATCAAGAACAGTGTCAGTATTCACAAGCTGTGTGACCTTGTTCAAGTCTATCTGTCTCTTCTGGCCTCAGTTGATTTGATATAAAATGGGGAGAATAATGCTTACCAGATAATGTCAGAAATATCAAGTGAGATCTTGAATGTGAAATGGCTTTAAATGGTGTATAGGAGTGAATTGCTATGCGTCTGCCATCTGTGATGTAAAGGGGCTATGGTCCAGGAAGGAAAAAAATTAAATGAGCAATAGCATGAAGAAAAGGAAGTTATTTTGACCTCTGCTTCTCATGTGTACATTCATTCAGCAGATATAACTCAACATCTACTGTGTGCTAGTCACCATGCTAGGAGATGAAGATACAGAGAAACATAAAATATGGAACCAGTTTTTATAAGCCTGGAAACTGAGGGTAGAGGTGCATGAGTAACACAATGTGATGAGAAGTGTAGTGGAGGGATGTAAAGGCTGAGGGATCCTAGAGGAGGGAGTAACTGACTGTGACTTGGGGGGCCAGGAGAATTTGGATGCTTGGAAAATGAGGATGTTTTCACTTGCAGATAAAGCAAAAGTAGTAAGGAGGGGAGAAAGTCTCAGCCAAAGGGAAGAGCAGGTGCTAAGGCACTGGGGTGACCCTGTTCAGAATAAGTGGTCCTCTGTCATGATAGGCAGATAGCTTGTCTTGCTAGTGAAAGACTTAAAATACTTCATAAAAAAGTTAGTTTGGAGAGCTTTCTCTGGGACATCGTAAAAGACAGCCTGGAATGAGGTACTAAAGGCAGTCAGCCCAGTGAAGGGAGTTTGCAACAGATCAGGTAGGTAGACCTGCATTTAGTTACTAGTCACAGAAATGGAGAGGGAGAGATATTGAAAAGTCAGGATGCCTTAGCGACAGATCCCTAAGTCTTCGGAACTTCAGGGCAGTACTGCCTGTGTGGGAACTCTCCCATGTCTCCTTGATTTCACGGCCACCTTTGCAGGCGCCCTCTCTCGTCTCGCCGCCAGCCCCCGCCTCCTTTCTCCGTAAGCTTGGGTCTCCCTGGGAGCGGGTCTGCCCTTGGGTGAGGCCTCTGGGCTCTGTGCCCTACAGCTCGGCCGACATTCGGGGCAGACAGAAGCGGGGTTCGGCGCCCCCCGCGTGCACGTGTGCTAGCCCAGGCAGGAGGGAGCGCCTCGGCGGAGGAGTCAAGGAAGAGGGGAGGGAGAAACGCGCCAGAACCTCGGTCCCGGGCGCCCTGGTCGGCCGCGGAGGAGCTGCAGCCTCCAACAGGTTCGTAGAACGCGCGCTCGCTCCCTGTGGCTGAGCCACTGTCCTTCGCGGGAGCGGTTGGCGGAGAGACCCCGGCCACAGGCCCCGCGCTCCAGAGCTCCTAGAAGGCGGCTTCCTCCGGCCTCTCCCCCTCCCTGGAGCTCTCAGCCGCGGGCTGCTCTTCCGGGGCGAGGCAGAGGGCGCCTCGGGCTTCTCGCTTCAGCACCACCTCGGGGACAGCTCCCGCGCCGGGCGGGGGTACGTCCCGGGTCAGCGGGGCTGACACCCGCAGACCGCGGCGGCCCGGAGGGCTCCTCCGCACCCTCCGCCCGGGTTCCGTGCCGCCGCTGAGGACCGTCCCTTGCCCCCGCGCGCCGCTCCCCGCGCCAGCACAGCGGCGGCGGACAGTTCCCTCCGGCTGCACCGCGAACAGCGAACAAAGACTCGGGGCTGGGGCCTGCAGCGCGCTGGGGGGTGGCGTGGGGCCGCACCGATGGGGGAATTTCGGCTTCTCCTAGAGCGATGTCACCGGCGAGCTGGGCGGGGGCCTAGCACAGCCGCGCGTCTCCGGCTTGGGTCTGCCGTCCGCTGAGGCCTGGCCGTGCAATGGCGGGCCCCAGCTAAGAGTGAGCAAGAGGGTGGAGGGGACGCAGGCACAGAAGGGTCCCGACTCCGCTGGGCGGGCTGGGCCCAGGCTGAGCTCCTGGCGGGGAGGAAGGAGTGCGCCGCCCCTTCTTTCCCTCCAGACCCCCACCCCCACCCCAGCTCAGAACCGTGGACTTCCAAGAGCCCAGCACAGAAGCCCGCGGCTGGCAGCTGCAATCACTGACTCCGGCTGTCCCCGGAACATCCCTAGAAAGTGTGAGGCTGAGTTTCCGTAGGGGGAGGGGGCCGAGAAGCCGCGGAGAAGCCTCACGAACGGGGTAGCTCCGGGCTCCCTCTCTCCCTCACGGCCCGGGTCCCGCCCCACCCCCAGAGAAATCCCAGACCGCGGAGAAGGAATGGGGGAGGGGGCGACCCAGACAGCTGGTTGCGAACTCGGCTTAGACCTGGGAGGTTGCATTTAGCAAGAAAAGAAGTTGAGGGCGCCCGTTAAGCCAGGAGGTTCCCAAAAAGGGAAGCCAGTTTTGCGGCAGGAAAGCAGACGTGGAAGAGAAACCTTTTTTTCTCTGAGAGCTGAGGCTGGGAGGGCCCTCAGATCACGTGACACTCTAGATCACTGATTGTCTCCGTGGGAGACCAGACCTAGGGGGCAGGGGTGATTCGCCCAAGGTCACTCAGCAATTTAGTAGCAGAGCTGGGCCTAAAACCCAGGCTTCTTAACTCCTGGGCCTGTTGCATAACATTCATAGAGAACTCTTAAAATCCCAGATGCAAGAACAGCAGAGTGGTTTACTTACTAGCATGTGACCTTGGGGAAGTGACCTTCTGAGACTATCTTCAGCTATTAAAGAGGAATGAGAAGATTAATAATGCCCACTTGGATGAGGATTTAATGAGCTTAGTGACACATAGTAAATGCTTAAAAAATGGTAGATCCCATGGCTGCTGTTATCCTTTCTGTAAGCTTGTACTGGGGACCTATTATATACCAGGCACTGGCTGTGCACTGGGGAGGCAGAGAAGTAACTCGAGGAGGTCACAGGCCAGAAAAGAAAACAAACACTTGCAATATGTTAAGTATCAAGGCAACAGGGCTGTGGGATCTCAGAAGCAGGAGTCATGAACTGTAAGGAAAGACGAAGAAAAGGACTCCAGGCAGATACAGCTGTGTGTCAAGGTCAAGAGATGTGAAGTTCCAGCCACCAAGGCAATGTTACTGTGCCAGAGAGTCCTCAGGATGTGGCCTGAAAAATGAGAGTGGAGAGAAAGGCTGGAACCAGTCTCCAAAGAGCCTTTTATTGATGGAATACTTACGGAATATATTTAGAAAAATAGACAGAATAGTATAATAACCCCCCACATACCCATCATTCAGCTTCAACAGTTGGCCAATTTTGTTTCATTTATACCCACACCCACTCTCATCACACACACCCACATTCACTCTCATCACATGCACACACACACACACACACACACTGACTTATTTGGAAGCAAATCCAAGACATCACATCATTTCATACAGAGGGATTTTAACATCAGTACAACGTCTGCCATTCAGATACTAGACCATCTTGGAAGTCACTAACTCAAATCATGACCTTCTCTCCTCAATCCGTTCTGAACATTTCTGTCCTTTGCAGAATGAGAAGCCACACTATAGTGATGAGCCACATGCATTAAAAGAAATTGTTTCAGAAATAAACAAGGGTTACAACAACCCTCAACAGGTTTTACCATGCCAGAACTGTTCACGTCCACTGCCTACCCTGGGGCGTTAGGCCAATGACTAAAGACAAATCAAACCCCATAGGGAGAAAGTGAGAGCTTCCCTTTCAAAGTAATCTGAATCATGAGCTCCTAAGGCTAGAAAGATTAACATTATGTAAATCATTGATTTGGAAATCATCAAGCCAACCAGCCACATTTTACGAATGAGGAAGAGAGGGGTCAAAAATGGGGAAGAATTGGCCCAAAGTTCCATGGTGCAGAGACCAGAACCAGGATTTTTGAACTCATAAACTTGGGATGCCATTTTCTTCTCTAGGTCAAAGAGGCTGGAAGGAGGAAAAGGAAGGGGGCAAGAAATACCCTTCTTCGTTCTCAAGAAGATGGCAATGTATGACAGTTGGTCTTGGTTTGGTTTTTGAGATTCCTCTGCAAGTTTCTCTTCCATATATATATATATATATATATATATTCTAATTACTATAGCTGTGATAGTGATTGCACTATAGTGTAATCACTAAACTGTGATAGTGTAATCACAGCTTACTGCATCCTCAAACTCCTGGGTTTAAGGGGTCCTCTCTCCTCGGCTTCCCAAGTAGCTAAGACTATAGGTGTGTACCACCATGTCCAGCTATTTTTTTATTATTATATTTTATTTTTGTAGAAATGAAGTCCCATTATGTTTGTTGCCCAGGCTGGTCTGAAACTCCTGGGCTCAATTGATCCTCTTCTCTCACTTCCCAAAATGCAGCTGGGATTAAAGACATGAACCATCCCACCTAGCCTCTACCATATACTTTCTAAGTAACCTGATCTTGGTGGCACCTTCTTTCTGGCTGCTGTGCTAACCTCCCAGCTGGCCCCTTAGTTCTCATTAGCAAAAGGCTGCACAGTTAGAAGCCCAGATCTCATTTCCATGGATTTTGCCAGCCTTGCTTGCCTTAACCAGATGTACATAAAGCCTTCCTTTTTCCATTTGCCCCGAATTTGGCTGCACACCTGCCTCAGTTACAGACCTCAGCTCCTTAGAGGTGCTAAATGAGTAGTGTTTGACTCAGGTCCTGGTAGGACTCAGAGTTCTTGTGCCTTTTGGGAACATAAAGTCTCCCTGTTACTGATGAAATGTGATGGCTGTGATGTGTATGTGTGTCCTGACTGGGCTCCGGGACTCTGACTCTGCAAGTCAGACTTTTCAGTCTTTAGGAAATCCTCTGCTTACCAAATGGGGAGGGCAGTATCTCGCAAGTTTCCCCAAGTCTTAGGTAGACAATTGACAGTACGTGAAAGGAGCCCTTAGCATCCTTGGTGAAGGAAAGTCAGCAGAGAACAGCCAGTACAAGTGTCTTGCTTCTGGGAGTGTGATTTCAGTCCAGATATAGGAAAGTGATAAAGATAGTATAGCCCAGCTTATGAAATTATCCCAGCTATCAGACTGGGATGAGACTGACTTAGATGCATTATATTACCTGTAACTATATATTACCAGAATATATAAGATCCCAAAGGGACTTGGTGGACATCTCATCTTCCTTCAAGATGCTTACTCATTGAATGGCTATTCTGTGTCAGGCACGATTCCAAGTGATGGTGATGTAGCAGAACAAGACACTGCTGATCCCTGTTCTCATGTGGCTTACAGACTCACAGTAGGTACAGTCATTGATAACCATTGAAAAGCAAATGTTAAAATAGACAGACAGACGGATAGAGAAGGCCTGTGTGAACTGGTGACACTGAATAACAAGAGTCAGTCATGTGACAACATGGGGCAGCACACTCCAAACAGAGGAAATAGCTCTGGCAGAAGCCCTAATGTGAGCCTCAACTGTAGGGGGACAGATGCGAGGTGGAGTGAAGGGAGAACAGCAGCCGCCAGGGGCAGGGACGGGGCAGGGAGAATCATGCAGGCCCTTGTAGGCCATGGTCAGGATTGAGGCTTTTATTCTAAATGTAATGGATAGTAGCCATATGGCTTTAAGCAGAGGGGTGTTAAAAAAAAACTGGATGTTTTTTAAAAATGCCTCTGTTGCTGTGTGGAGAGTGGATGATAGGGAAGTGCTGGGCTGAGTGTGGGGAGTGGATGATAGGAGGCTGGAAGGGTGAGACACAGCCTCTCCCATGCGGAGGTGGTCAGCATTCAGCTTAGGAGACAATAGGCAAACAAGATCAACCGCAGCCCAAGCTAAGGACTGCCATTGTGAGAAGAGACAAGAAGATTTAAGTCAGCCTAGGAAACATCGGGGAAGGCTTCATGGAGGTGGGCAATGGATGTGGGATCACACCTGGGAAAGGAGAATGGTAAGGCTGCTGCACAGGTGCACCAAGGGGCAGTGTGTGGTAGCTGTGGAGGACATGGCCCAGGAGCCAGGCTGCCTAGGTTCAAATCCCAGCCCTGCCATTGAGAAGCTGTGTGGGTTTAGGCAAGTTGTTTACCCCTGTGTGACTCGATGTCCTCATTCTTAAAGTGGAGATGATGAGAGTCCAAATACTTATTTCAAGGGATTTCTGTGAGAGTTAAACAAGTTAAAATATGTGCAGCACTCAGACATTCCTGGCACTCAGAATGTGCCGTTTGAGTACGAGTATTCTAAATAAAAAAGGAGCAAAATGGAGATGGGCGAGACAGGCGCACATGCCAAGAAGTGTCCACTACAGCCGGGCTCGGGCCTCGAATCCCAGGCCAGAGA